CGTTTCCTTATAGAATCATCTGGCAATATCCTGCGCTCCTTCTGGGATAGGCAGAATGGCCCCCCAAAAATGTCCAGGCCTTACTCTTTAGAAGCTTTAAACATGTTATATCCATGACATCAGGGACTTTGCAGGTGTTATTAAGGTTATAGATTTTCGGATAGTGAATCCTGGATTATCTGGTGGTTCAATGTGATCACATGAACCTTAAAGGCAGAGAAATTTCTTTTGCTGGAGTCAGAGGGATGCTGCAGAAGTGAGGGAGTGTCAATGTTTCAGAGGAGTTTGACACACCAATGCAATGCTGGAGGGGCATATGGGAACAGATAAGGGGGATCAGAGGTCTCTAGGAGTAAAGACCACTCCCCCCCACTGCCCCCACCTCCCAGCTGACAGCTAGTGAGGAAATGGGACTTCAACCTGAATGAACCAGGAAGCAGATTTTTTTCTTTGGGCATTCAGTGAGGAATGCAGTCCCTCTGACATCTTGATTTCAGCCTTAGGAGGCTGAGAGAACCCAGCTGATTCTGCCTGGACTATTTTTCTTTTCTTTAATTTTTCATTTTATATGAGAATATAACTAATTAACAATGTTGTTTCATGTGGACAAAGGGACTCAGCCATACATAGACATGTGTTCATTCTCCTTCAAACTCCCTCCCCATCCAGGCTGCTATATAACATTGAACAGTTTCCTGGCTACACTGTATAGCCAAGTCCTGTTGGTTCTGTTGGTTATCCATTTAAAATATAACAGTGTACGCATGTCCATCCCCGACTCCCTAACTATCCCTTTCCCTATCCTTCCCCCTGGCAACCATATGGTTATTCTCTAAGTCTGTGAATCTATTTCTGTTTTGTAAATAAGTTCATTTGTATCATCACTTTTTAGATTCTGCATGTAAGCGATGTCCTATTTTTCCCTCTCTGAGTTACTTTACTCAGTAAAGCAATCTCTAGGTCCATCCATGTAGCTCCAAATGACATGATTTCTTTCTCTTTAATGGCTGAGTACTATTCTAGTGTGCATATGTACCACATCTTTATTCATTCCTTTAGAGCAAGCACTTCTTAAAGTATGATTCCTGAAGGTCCCCTTAGACTCTCTCAGAAAGTCTGTGAAGGGAAGATGATTTTCACAGTAACACTAAGATGCTTTTTGCCTTTTTCACGTTGTTGACATTTGCACCAGTAATGCAAAAGCATCGATGGGAAAAACCACTGGTGTCTTGGCTCATGTCAAGGTAGCATCACTTTACCAGTGGTCATTCTGGTTTTGCCAGCACAACCTTGAAGGAAAGAACATGAAGTTTCACTTAAGGATGCTCTTAAGGAGCAGAAAAATTCTTAGTGTTATTAAATGGATATAAGTTTGAGCAAACTCCGAGAGACAGTGAAGGATAGGGAAGCCTGGCATGCTGCAGTCAATGGGGTCACAGAGTCGGACATGACTGAACTACTGAACAAAACAAAACAAATTAAATCTTGACCCTTAAATCCATGTCTTTTCCATATGCTGGGTGATGAAAGCACCAGAAAGTGCCTTGAAGAAAGGCACGTGTGCCTTTTCTTTCATGGAACATCATTTTTATTTAACAAAAGACTGATACAGAAATGAGAGTTCCTCAGACATGGGTATTCAGGAGATATTTTCTTGAAAATGAATGAAGTGAGCCTGCCACTTCAAGAAAAACAACTGACAGTATTTAGTTTCCGATGACAGTATTTGAGCTTTCAAGCGAAGAATAGAATTTTGGAAAACCTGAGTCTGCCGCTGGAATTTGACTGATCCTCAATACTCAGACTGTCTGATGAGATCAACTGTGATATTACACAGCAAAAGAGTGTGATTTTTTTTTTTAGACTGTAAAATAAAGTGTGTAAGGATTTGCAGCATGTGAATAACAGTAGGTCATTGTCTTCCAAATGACTAATGTTACAGAATCATGCATGGGTAAAGGAACCACGGAAAATGCCAGAAGTGTTTATTGATATGCTTCCATATTCCAAATTGCAACTAACCTTTAAGAAACTTGTTGAGTTTTGTTGTGGTAAAAGAAGAACAGCACAATTATCTTAAAAATATTCCCTCCTTTACCAACTACAAAGCCACATGAGGCTAGATTTGCTTCATTGTACTTTAGCCAAGACCTCATTTCACAACAGGTTGAATGCAGAGGCAGAAATAAGAATCCAGCGGTCTTTTGTTAAGCAAGAGACACAAGGCATCTTGTCTCACTGACCATTTTTTGGTTTTGAAAATATAGATTTTTTCTAAAAATATTTTATGTTAATATATAATGGGTTCATTATTCATATAAATGAATTAATCAGTTAATTATAACTTCTGTTTCAACTTCAAATAGTGCAAATATTAATAGACATAAACCACAGAAATAAAACCTTTTTGTAGTCCTCAGAAATTTTAGAGTGGACGGTATCTACTGAGGCTTGTTGGAGGACAGGCCACACATGGATGTAACTCAATAGTTCCAAATTTGCACTCCAGAGCCAATGTAAAACCAGAGTACTTTTCATTTGACTTTAGCCCTTTTACTACGTAAGACAACTGTTGAATTTTGAATGAGTTTTCTCTATTTACAAATTGGCAGTTTTTATGTGAAATATCACATCTTTCAGTTGTCTTGAAAAACTGAATGGCCTGGCTTCACTGGGTCCACATCCTGCCTGGCCTCTGCAGATGGGTGGAGTAGCCTTCCTCTGCATGCATGCCTTCCAGTGTCCCTCCATTCTTGCCACATCCCATTCTTTACATTCCTCCCTTTAAACCCACTCCTCCTCAGTTGTCCACATGGTTTCTCAGCTCCTAGAAACATCTGTGTTTGAAATATCTCATTTACATGGTATCCTCAGTAGCAAGAAGCTGGGAAGACCTGGGTGTGTCTCAAGACTCTTCCACTGCTCCTTGGGGAGTGTTATATATCACAAGATGCCAAGAGCCCATGAAAAGAAGATAAGATCACCAGATGAGACATGGATTTTTGAAATGGAGGCTAAAGTCATATTTTAAGACTCATTTTCTCAAATATCTTTATAACCTGCTGCTGAATATGGCAAGTGGATGGGTAAGGTGTCAGGAGAGTAGCTGAAATGGGGGTTTAAAAATGAGTTTGTGCTCAAGAGCCAGAGCGTTTGTGTTCAAATCCTGGTTATAAACCTTTTGATAGTTGTGTGACCTTGGATGAGTTATCCAAACTCCGTGTGTTTAGTTTCAATAAATAAATAAATGAAATAAATGAAAAATGAGACTCATATTATCTACCTCATTGGGTTGTTGGAAGAATTAAATGAGGCAGTATGTGACAGGCAATTAGAATAGTGGCTGGCACAAAAGAGGCTTTCAATGATTGTTAGCTGTTATTTTCATTATTCTTTTGAGCTGGGCTCAAGCCTGGCTATGAAAGGGAAAGTCAGCTGCCTTAGGTTCTGCCAGAAAACCTGCACTTTGTCCTTTCCACCCTATCTCCCAGATCCCAGGCATCCTGACATGAATGCAGTGGATCCCAAAAGATATTTGAGAATGACATGGTGACTCATCTTGACTGACAGGCACAGTTACTCAATTCATACCTGTTAAATCTACAGTGGATTTGGCAGAAGTACCTAAATAGACATTTCTCCAAAGAAGACATACAGATGGCCAACAGGTACATGAAAAGACATTCAACATCATTAATTATCAGAGAAATGCAAATCAAAATTACAATGAGCTGTCACTTCAACCGGTCAGAATGGACATCAGCAAAATAATCCACAAACAGTAAGTGCTGGAGAGGGTAAGGGGAAAAAGGAACCCTCCTGCACTGTTGGTGGAAATGTAAACTAGTGCAGCCACTATGAAGAACAGTATGGAGGTTCCTCAAAAAACTAAAAATAGAGCGGATCTTCCCGACCCAGAGACTGAACCTGCATCTCCTGTGTCTCCTGCATTGCAGGCAGATTCTTTACCTGCTGAATATGATTCAGCAATCCAACTCCTGGGCATGCATGCAGAGAAACCATAAACCAAAAAGATATATACACCACAATTTCACTGCAGGACTAGTTACAGTAGCTAAGTCATGGAAACAGCCTAACTCTCCATTGACTGCTGAATGGATAAAGAAGACGTGGCACGTACATATGCAACGAAATAACGCCATTTGCAGTAACATGGATGAACCTAGAGATTATCACACCAAGTGAGGTAAGCCAGACAGAGAGAACTACCACATGATACTGCTTATATGTGGAATCTCAAAAATGATACAAATGAGCTTATTTACAAGACAGAAACAGACTCACAGACATGGAAAGCAAACATGATTACCAAAGGAGAAAGGGAAGAATGGAGAGAGAAATTAGGAGTTTGGGACTAGAACATGCACACTCCTATATAGAAAATAGATAGTAAGCAAGGACCTACTCTGTAGCACAGAGGAACTATACTCAATATCTTGTAATAATCTATAATGGGAAAGAATCTAAAAAGGAATATATATAGAAAGCTAAATCACTTTGATATACACCTGAAACAAACACAGTATTGTAAATCAACTATACTTCGATAAAATTTAAAACAATTTAAAAAAATCTATAGTGGATTTGATGTTGCTCATGAGGCATATTAATAAGTCCATTCATTTGTTCTTTCATGCATTTACCCAGTTGATTAGTATTCTATTTATTCTTTAAGCATCAGTCTATTGAATGGTTTTTTATTCATTTTTCATTCATTAAACATATTGCTTACTATGTTCCTGGCACATAGACATGGAAGCTCATGTCCTTGTTTTGGGTTAGAAACAACCGCCAGCTATTTCTGGTGAACAGGGTCTAAGTATTTTAATTCCTTGTCTGTTACAAACAACAATCCACATGTTTCTATGGGACTGTTGAAAGATTTATTCCTACCCTGAGACCAAGTAACATACATGAAATAAATCACTGTTCAGAAATGGCCTTAAAAAGAGAAACAAGACTATAACTCTTAGAAAAAATTCTGTAAGTACCCAATTTATTCATAAAATAATACACTTTCAATATTTATGATTTTTTTCAGTCATATATTTACCATCATTCCCAAATATGCTTTTGGCCAACATATATTTGTAAGGTTAAGATCTATATTTATAATACTGGAAATCATACAAGGCATTTGATTTGCACGTGAAATACTCCCCCCCTTACCAAACAACAAACAGATCTACTGTGCCTTGTCATTTACCTTCCTGTATCTCTGAACAAAAGTAGGCTTCACCTAGGGCATTTTATACTTGCAAAAAACTTGCTAATTTCTCTGTAAGATGATTACACAAGTGAAACATTCATTCTTTAGGTTTAAGGGTGGCCAGGTTATATCAAAACAAAACACCTCTACCCAAAACAGTCCCAAGCATTTGTGTTGATGATTCAGTTTGCTCTCAGGAGTGATAAGAAGTACAAAGAAGCCCAAGAATAAGCTTAAAGATCAGTCTGGTGGGCCACCTCTCTTGAGGAGCCACACCCCATGGCCATTTTCTGTGGACAAGTCTCCACTGTCACAGGTCTATTGAAGACTCTTTGAGGTCACACCTAAGGATTGATATAAACATGAGGCCTGAATTGGCATCACCTGGGATTCTGTTACAGCTGCTTGGATCTTGGGCTCACACAGACCAATTGCATTACAGTCTAAATTTTAACAAGATCCTCTGGTGAACTGTATACACAAGGAAGTCTAAGAAATGCTGGACTGGGTGCCCCAGCCCCACTTTAAGAAGATCACCTCTAGCTGGATAAACCTCTTCTTCAGGGGAGACACTGTTCCCAGCAGGGAGGAATTATAGATGACAACTGCAAAAACAGTATGGGTTTTTTTTTTTTTTTATTTTAAACATGCAAAATACAGTCCATGCATCTGCCATTTTAAAAAGTCTCTCATCCTGTAGCAGCTAAAACCAAATATGTTTTGGCTATCAACATTCAAGAAATGTTTCAAAATGCTTTACAGTGTAAAGATAATAAGAAATTTAGCAAAATTTCAACAAACCTGTATAAAAAACAGATACAGATAACTTTTTATTTCAAGGCAACATGCTGTAATGTAAAGAGTAAGTTATAATTATCTGTGTTTCTTTGTAAAAAGTCTTTAACAATACAAGGGATTAACAGATCCAGGCCTCAGGGCTACACATGCAAAAAAAATTGTCAGTTAGTTAAAAATCACCAAACGTGCTATTTTTAAATGTGTATTTGTGTGTCTTTTTAAGTACAGGAGTAATAGAAGTATTAAATATTAGCAGGAATAGTATCTGAGAACTCAGTAAAAGTGTGTACAGTTCATGGAGCCAGTGTCCGGGAAGATTCATACATTTCTGAGGAACATTTTGGCTTAATTCCTTTGCCATTGTAATAGTCCACGACTTGGTTTGGGACTTCAGCCAACACGCTCTTTGCCAGGGCAGCTGGAGATGCCTGCAGGGAAGAAGAAATCAGCATGACTCAGGCACCTGGTTGAACTAATCTGACCCAAATCAGCCTAAAACACTTGAATCCTGCTGTGAACAGCAGGTTTCATTCATTCATTCATTTATTCATCATTCATTCTGTACTTGTCAGCATCTACTCCAAGCAAGAGTTGTCAGATTGTTGGAAACTGAGCTTTTAATTTCATAACTGTGATTTTTTTCATATCTGTCTCAAAATAAGGAACTATTCACATCTGAGGATGGGTGAACATTGGATGGTAGAAAGAACTGCCTTGCAGTTTTGTGTTTGAATTACATTCAAATCCAGACACCTATTTATGTTCCAGGCACTCTGGGAGTGTTCATAGTGTCTGTGGTTCTTGCCGTTATGAAAGTTGCAGTTGTGCGAAGGATTTCCTTGGTGGCTTGCTGCTGCTGCTAAGTCGCACCAGTCGTGTCTGACTTTGTGCAACCCCATAGACGGCAGCCCACCAGCCTCCTCCATCCCTGGGATTCTCCAGGCAAGGACACTGAAGTGGGTTGCCATTGCCTTCTCCTTCCTTGGTGGCTTAGATGTTAAAGAATCTGATAGCGATGTAGGAGATGCAGCTTTGATCCCTGGGTTCAGGAAGATCCTCTGGAGGAGGAAATAGCAACCCACTCCAGTATTCTTGCTTGGAGAATCCCAAGGACAGAGGAGTCTGGTAGGTTACAGTCCATGGGGGTAACAAAGAGACACAACTGAGTGACTAACACACATGAACACACACACTCACACACACACACACAGACACACACACACAGAGTCATGTGAGGGGAGCCTGGTGGGGCCGAAATGAACCCTCCCATTAGGCAGAACACGATCCATGCCACAGAGCAGCAGATCACATCACACGTGAACTTATTAGAAACTAAGATCCTTAAACCCATCCCAGAGCTAATGAATCAGAATCTGAGTTTTAACTCAATGCCTAGGTGACTTCTATGATACTGAAATTTGAGAAGCACTGCCCTAGGGAGTCACAAACACTGTGTGACCAGAGCACAGAAAATCAAGAGAGTAAGTCATCTAAGAGATCACAGCAGGCTTCCAAGAAGAGATAGCACTTAAGTTGGGGTATGTTTTGAAACAGGGAGAAGGAGAGGACTGGAGTTTGATCATTCTAGGGACAGTGAGTCATCTGATGGGGCTCTGAAGGAAGTGTGTATTAGGGATGCAGGATTGGCTGTGCTTTCAGCTGGAAAATGAGCTCGTGTCTGAGTGATGGAATGTCTTGAATGCTGCGCTGGTTTCTGTAGCCTTTCTCCTATCAGCATTATAGACTCTAAGCCTTGGGGCAGAGGAAGGTGGAGGCTGACATTCTGCATGGACTCTGGACTCAAGCAGAGTTGGGCCTGACCTCTGACCCTGGCACTCATTATTCACTGCTCAGCCCCTGGGCAAGTAAGATTGCCTGAATCTCCTTGTTAGCAGTTCCTGCAGAGGTTGAGAACTGGAGGCAGAGTGAAACGTTTGAAGTCCCTCCGGAAAAATCCTGAAGGAAAGAGGGCTGGCCTAAATGCCAGGTGGCGAGGTTTCTAGCTCTTGCCTTCCTTGTCACTCAGCCATTCAACTTTGCTAAACCCTGATGTTTTGAGACAGGAAAGGAAAGAATAGGAATTCATTCTACCTCAAATATTCTAGGTGGCTCAAAATGCAAGAGATCTTAAAAATTTCAAAAACAATCTGAAAATACTGTGCTTCTAAAGTGACTGCTCACATTTTTAAGATGTCAGTATACTGGCCATTGGCATCCATTAATACTCTTTTATTTTATAAATAACCGCTCAGGTGTTAGATCATGGCCAACTCATACACTGGGGAAAACACAAGAGTCATTTCCTCCCTTTTCTCTCTGGTTGTTGCTCACACAAAGGTTAGAAAGATAAAGACTTGATTTCCCAGTCTTCTTGGCATGGAGGGATGCCATGTGACCCAATTTCATTATTTGAGACCCAAGTGAAGTTTCCTGGGGGCTTTCTTGGAAAGCTCTTCAATAGACATCATCAGTTCTATATCTCTTTCCCCTTCCTTTTTACCTTGAACTAGAATGTGATTTCTAGAGCTTTGGCAACCATTTTATCATTATGAGGGAATAGCAAAAAGAATCTCTAAGTGGTACTGACACTATTGAATCATTGAAAAAACTAGCCAGTAGCCACTAGTCCCTAATATTTAGTTACACGAGAAAAGAAAAGTATATTTGTACTTACATAATCAATATTGGCACTATTTCTATTTTGCTATACTAGATATGTTTCATTATTTTTCATGTGGGGACTATTCCTCTGGAAGAGGACTATTCCTCTTATAAGCATAGGATGCTTACAAGCCTCTCTGGCCTCTGCCTATTGGATGCAAGTAGCCGTCAAAAATGTCTCTAGTCATTGCCAAGTTTTTCTGGGAGAAAAATCATCCTTGGTTAAGAACAACTCATGTGATCCACTGTGATATGGGTTTGCTGTTATTTTAAGACAAAAATATTCCTGACCAGTGTGTCAAATAGAACTTGCTTGGGTGATAAAAGTATTCTGTATCTCTGCTGTCCAATGTGGTAGTCACCAGACACATGGTGTCTCTGAGCCCCTGCGATATGGATAGTATGGCTGAAAAACCAATTTTTAAATTTTAATGAATTTAAATTTAAATAACCACATGTGGCCCTTTGCTACTGTGTTGGATGGCACAGCTCCCAGTGATTCTCCTGCCCTTTGCACATCTGTACTGGTGGTTCTGGTGAGCAAAGACTGCTTAGAGGTCCTTAGGTTGGGAAAAGGAAAAAAATATGAAAGTATCTGGTAACAACAGTAATAACAGCTGCATTTATTAACCTCCTACATGCACCAGGCACTGTGCTGAGCTTTATATAGGCCCTTCCTCTCATCTTCCAAAGTGTGTGTCATTTACCCCATTTTACAAATGAAAGTCTGCGACACAGAGAGGTTAAGTAAATTGCCTTGAGTCACAACAGCCCACAGCCTCTGCCTGTCTGAAGGTCTCAGTTACTTTGCAGAGCAGAAAAAGAGAGGCAATTCATGGGTTCCTGGCTGTTTGAAATGATATCAGCACCTCATCTTGTGCTTTATTTATGGTTTATTGAATTCAGAGTAGATTAGTTTGGATAATGAAATGGTTCTCGGAATCTAATTTGAAATTCAGGAAGATAAGGTGGGTGTTGAGCTCCTGGTGCTCTGCTCTGCTTCCACAGGAAGCTAGGGCCCTGGGGCAGAGGGACGGCCAGCACACCCCCTTCCTGGCCCCATGAGGCACTTCCTTATTGCAGGTGACCCTCTTCCCCTCCCGCCACCCCACCAAGGTCTGCCTCCTTCATGTCCCAACTCCACCAAGGTCTGCCTCCTTCATGTCCCAACTCCACCAAGGTCTGCCTCCTTCATGTCCCAACTCCGGCCACGTCTCTGAAGTTTCGTAGTGACAGGGTAGCCTTCCTCAACCACCCACGGATCACTTAGGTGGACATCTGTGTTCCAACTGGGCAATTCTCCAGTCAGTTCCTGGAGGAGGTTGGGCCCATGGCTCCTTATCTCCCTGTGGTCCCAGTGCAAGCACGCAGCAGGCAGTCTGTAAGTGTGTGAGGGGGAGCAGGGGCTGGAGCAAAGGCCGCAGCCCTACATGGCAATGAGGCATGTTTGTGTGTGCGTGTGTATGTGTGTGTGTGAGTGTGTGTCTGCAGCAGGTAGGCAGAGTGTGGTTTGGGGAAACTCCTGAACCCCTCATCACCCAGGCAATATTGCGGGTGGTGGTCACTCCTGTGGTACTTCTGTCAGCTGACAAGATGGGGCAGGACATTGTGGTCTGGAAGAACACTCTCTCCCATCTTGGCATCACCCTAGCAACTAGCTTCATTGATGGACACAGCTGTAGGGGCTTCAGCTCCAGCACACCCCGACTTGACAAAGATGTCCCTCCTTGCTCTCCTGTGCAGACACCTTGGGGTCTTGAAAGCTCCCCTTGGGCAAGTTGAAGATAGGCTATGGTAGCAGAGGGACCCTTCCCCCAGGCTTACTGCCCACACTTGTGGAAGCTTTCACAAGGGGCGTGGAATGAAAGAACAGGGGACTCTATAACCCAGCAGGGCTCTTCAGGGCCACCACCAACCCAAAGGGAAACTTCGTGTGAGTCAGAAAAAAAACATTTCTTTTTAAACCCGTTGGTCATGAACCAGTATTGAGTCTACCTTGGCAAACCGATTCCAACATTTTCCCCAACTGATCACAATCAACTGTTTAATATTACCCTTTAAACTAACTTTGTCATCTTGCTGGTTCTTTCACTACTGAATTAAATAAATCTTTGATACTGCTTACTATATATTTATAGAGGATTTAGGATTCTATCATTTTTGAAAACATACTTTGCCAAGGCAAACACAGGTCTCTGCCAGGGCGCATGGCTTGACAAGGAGAACTGAGGCTGCATTTCAGCTCCTCTTTACCCCTGCTGCTGGGCACCCTTGAGCAGGAAACAACCTGTCGAACTGTATATGCCAGCCTTGGGAACACTGAAGACCCTAAATTATGTAGACGAGGCCAGGTTCCAATGAAAGTTTGGCTACATAGTTAGCATGACTCCTCATCCATAACTCAGGGCATACATCTTTCTCCAATTAGTCAAGCTTTACATGTTCTAGCTGGGAGTTGGCCTGGCCCAGGCAGGTACGGCTGGCATTGCTTCACTACCAACACTGGTAGAAAAACGGGCTGTTTCTGCTCTCCCAAGGGAAGCCCCCAAAATATGCGTACGTGTTTGAAGTTCCTGAAGGGCACGAACTGGACGATGTCACGGAGGACAGGCTCTCCCTTGGGTGATCTCAGAATCCCATCATCACCGTCCAGCATCTGCATGTCGCTGAAGTCTGCGTTGCCTACTCCCACGATGATGACTGACATGGGGAGGTGGGAGGCATGGACGATGGCCTCCCGTGTGTCGGCCATGTCTGTGATGACCCCATCAGTCAGGATCAGCAGGATGAAGTATTGCTGCCGTAAGTTGGACATCAGGAGACAATAGGGACAGAGAGGCGGGGGAGACAAGGACAAAGCCAGTTACACACTCAGGTGGCTCCAGGGCACACTGACCGCAGCAAAAGTGATGACTAACTTTTCCTGAATGCCTGAGTTTACAGCCCTAAACACCAAAGACTTAGGATGAATGGAGCTTAAAGCCTGGCTCAGTAATTGCAAGTAAATCCAAATAATCACCTTAGTGATGTTTATAAAGCACAGGGTATAGACAGAATAGTAGAGGAGTCAGGGGGTCGGTTTCAAAGCCTCATTCTCTGAGATGGTGGGAATTTTCCCCTGAATCCTCTGGGTCTCACCCTTTTCATCTCTCAAGTGAGTGGTGTAGCTGGATCATTCATAGGGTCCTCTTCAGCTTGGAGATTTGCAAGTCTAAAGTGGAGCTGCCTAATTTAGCCAACAGCTCCTTGTGACTACTGAGGACTTGAAATGCCATGCAAGCAATGGAGAAACAGAATTTTAAATTTTATCTCATTCAAATAAATTCAAATTTAACTTAAAAAAATGAATACCTGATTGATTTACTGAAAATCTTTTAAAGTATATTTGCACAACTATAAATATGTGAATCTAGGGGACATATGTATACCTATGTCTGATTCTTGTTGATATTTGACAGAAAACAACAAAATTCTGTAAAGCAATTATCCTTCAATTAAAAAATAAATTAAAAAATATGTGAATCTACTTTTTCAAGTATCAATTTATTGAATCTACATAAGGATCAAGTATTTTTGATGATAATTTAGCATCCGAATTGAGATGATATAAGGATAAAATACACACTAGATTTTGAAGACTTAGTACAAAAAATAACTTAAAATACTTTATTAATAATTTTTATATGGAGTACCTCTTAAGATGATGGTTTTAGTTATGCTGGGCTAAATAAAATATGTTACTAAAATGAATTCCCCTGTTTCTGTTCAGCTTTAAACTGTGACTACTGGAGAATTAAAAATTTCTGCACACCTCCCACTCTGTTTCTAGAGGATGGCACTGCACTAAAGCCCTAGGAGAGGTGAGGACTGTGGGCTCTCCTTCTTTAGGTCGTGTGCCCCGGACTGGCGAGTGGTCTGCGGGTGGCTGCCCTTCTCCGAGGATGGGGGCGGAAGGCTCTTACTGCTCTAAGTTATGGCTGAACAGGCTTGTGGGAGTCTCATCTGAGACGGAGACGGGGCAGGAGGCTCCATACTCATCAGCACACAGAGGGCTAGGGAAGGGCTATGGGGTCTGAAGAGGGAAAGTTCAGGAAGGACCTCACAGTCCTTAGTTGTTAGAGGCATCATGACAGCCTCTCGGATGAGAGGGGATTCGGGAATGAGGTTACTGAGATGCTGCTCACACCAAACTCTAAAGAACTTTTAATGTAACCTTTGCAATATGCTCATCTACAGGGAATAAATGTGGGATGGTGAAATCACTCCAAGTTGCCATATTTCAAAGGAGAAAGACTAGATAGAAAAATCACATGTTGAACACATCTGGTTTTGAGAATCACACTTAAAAGGTTGCATATAGGGCTGGCAGTGCTAAAGAGTTCCTATTTTTCTCTGTGAGTCTGAAAAAAATATTTTTAAACAAAACAACCCAGTCAAAATACAATTGGAGAGAAGAGAAATTCATACTATGATGAAGACAGACATGTGTCCTTAATGCTTTTCATACAGTTTAATATAGAGGCAAATTCTGTTCCATGCCTGCTAATTACCCACCCCTAGTTCTAACTGAACAATTTTTAAATTCATTTGAGTTATCAATTTTCATCCATACTGATGCTTTTGGAGTCTTATACATTCACAGAGAAAGTGGCCTGGGAGTTTGGAGGAAGGTTTTAATCAGGGAAAATGATGGAGGAGCTAGGGAGGTGCAGGGAGAAGGGGCCAAAGGAGGCAACTTGGTGGCTTAGCGACAGACAGATATGATGAGCCACATGAGTATATGATGGATATACCAGAGCCATAAATGACTCTTTGCAGGGTGCGCCTTGGAGGCTATAACAGGTACCAAATCTGGTTGGAGACTCCTCCTGATCCCTGAGCAGGTGGCCTTGTGAGTGAACCACACTTCTGCACCCCCACAATTCACTCCCCACCCTTCCCTAATTCCTGTCTGATCTGATCTTCATGGTTCAGGGCATGGATCTCCCCTACCTGTCCCCTACAATACCTCCAGGAGCAAACAACCTGAAAATCACACCACCATATCGAGGAATTTAGAGTTGTCACTGTCTAGATCTGGTGTTGGGAAAATATTTTCTGCAAAGGGGCTATAATAAATACTTTAGGCTATGTGGGTCATAATCATGTCCAAGGCAATGACCTAACTCTGCCGGTTAGAATGAAAATAGTCATAGATATTACTTAACAGGAATGTGCATGGCTGTGTTCCAATAAAACTTTATTGAGGGACACAAGTTTGAATGTCATATGACTTTGGTGTGCCATGAAATATGATTCTCCTTTTGATTTTTTTTCAACCATTTAAAACTGTAGAAGCCATTCTTAGCTAACTGAAAAACAGATTGCAGAATGTTGCTGGCTTCTCATTTAGAGCAGAGATTCCTTTTTTCCCCCCTAGTATTATTTATTCATTCGTTACTTCTCTCTCATTTGCCTCGATTTCATTTTTTTAAAATTTATTTTTTTTAACTGAAGGATAATTGCTATACAGATTTTTTTTGTTTGTTTCTGCCAAACATCAGGATGAAGCAGCCATAGGTATACATATGTAACAACCTAGAGAGGTGGGATGGTGAGGGAGATGGGAGGGAGGTTCAAGAGGTAGAGCAGGGGTTCTTAACTCGGGCTTGCAGACTGTTGAATTGAAATAATTTCAGGCCATCTGCATAGTTGGGGTAAATTAAAGTTCTGTTTTCACTTACCTTTAGCTAAAAATATATCATTTTTCAATTCTGAGTATAATCACAAATAAAATTGGTTTTAACTGTACTTATGACTGAGTCACCAATAGAAATCACAGAATATGTTCCTGTTATAATAGAGTATATCATTTACATTCAATATTACTTAGAAATAACAGAATTATTAGGCCAGCCACTAATTCTCATAATGTAAATTTATTACTGTACTTATGATGCTTCTATGTCACATTTAAAAATATTTAGTTAACTGCATTTCAACATAATTAGTTTATTTTATAACATATAAAGTAATGTTCATTTAAAGGCCATTCTGAGGAGGGGGTCCATGGGCTTCACCAGCTTCTAATGGTGTCCATGGATCAAAAAGGGTTAAGAAGCTCTAGTCTGAAGAGACTGTCAAGATTCTAGACCTGATCCTTCCAGGTTTAATCTAGCTAAAGGTAATAGGCTGCAGACTGCTGGATCGAAACCCTGATGGAAATTCCCAATAAAGCTTGCAGTAACAGTTGCTTCCAAAGTCAGGCTAGGAAAATGCTCATGGGTGAAACATTAGAGTCTGAATGTACTTGAGGTCCTGTTTAAATAAAGAGGGGATTTTTTTTCTTTCTAGAAGAGTTTCATAAAACTGGGGAGAAAATCCTATAGCCACAGACTTCCTGACACCACTTGCCTACAAGGTTCAAGGTGAGGACACTTAGCAATCAGTGATAACAAGGGGCCCTGGACCACACTCTGTTAATAAGATAACAGAAACTCTGGGGGAAAGAATCAGTGTTCCTGGCATATAGGAATGAGTTATTTGAGAAGATGTGGATTAGATCTGTCTAGTACTGTTTTCTGATCTGTCCTTTCAGAGCAGACCCACCTGATCCTGAAGTAAGTGATGCCAAAACCTCATTCTAGTTTCTATTAATCCAGAATGCACACTTATGTCAGATTCTCTTTACTCCCATGAGTGTTGGTACCCTAGAGAGGCTGAGATAACTCAGTTCTCAAACTGGGCTCCATGGAGCCCTAGGGATGCCTTGGATCCTCTTAAGGATAAAGCAGCTAAGAATAGACAAGTGTGGACCCCACCCCTTAGCCCAGATTCAATCAGAACAGTCTGTTTTCTTAAAATCTATATGTTTGGTTTCTAAACAAGATATGATTTGAAGAACTTGAGGTTCTGGTGATTTAAAAGGGGTTAAAATAAATGAAATACTGATCCTGTCCAGCCCTATCCCTAAACCTTGCATCTGTGAGGATTCAAAATTTCTCCAAGGCCTCTTGGGTTTGGTAAGACGGAGCTGCTATTGACTTTGACAAGTGTGGTCTTCAGAGTGGTGTCAGGAGCAAAGTTTGGATGGTATGGGTAGAGGTACCAGTGGAAAGAAGAGATGGAGATGGTGAGTATGGGCAGTTCTTTCAATGAATTTTGCTCAAAAAGAGTAAAATAAGGGACAGTAGCTGATGGGTAGAGTGGTGTCAAGGGAGAGCTTTGAACTTCAGAGATATTACACTGTGTTTTATTTGCTAATAGGAATGAGTCTTCAGTAGAAAGAGAAATAGATGATAAGGAGAGAAAGGGAATGCAAGTACGAGGGCAGTTTTCCTGGATAGTTGGGAGGTGTATGCTGCAGTGCAGGGAGCGGACACCGCTGTGAGATGGGAGCATGTCCAGCCCATCCGCACATGAGGAATGCTAAGAACACAGGCAGAGAGCCTGGGGGAAAGATGGGCTCACAAAGGAAGGTGAGGCAGCAGGATATCATGTTCTTTATGCAAATCCAGTGTTGTGGAACCCAGGATAAAATCATAAAGAAAATTTCAGACATCATTAATATTCTGCTAAATCTGAAAAAAATTTCATAAAGCCATAAAAAGGGACATAATGATGGTACTGAAAAAAGATACATAGAAAAATTATTATATTATGGTAATATATGTAACTCTAATGTAATTGGGTGGCGCTTCCCAGGTGGTGCTAGTATTAAAGAACCTGCCTGCCTGTGCAGGAGATGTAAGAGACACAAGTTTGATCCCTGGGTTGGGAAGATCCCTTGGAGAAGGGCATGGCAATCCATTCCAATATTCTTGTTTGGAGAATCCCATGGACAGATAGTCTGGCAGGCTACAGTCCATGAGGTCACAAAGAGTTGGACACAACTGAAGTGACTTAGCATGCACACCACATATTAGGGAAAAAACCAAACTCTGGCCTTTCAGCTTTGGTTTGCATTTTTCTTAAGAAAACCACCAACAGGACCTCAAATAAATCTTCCCCATGATGTTGTGTGTTACTTCACTTGACTACTAGGTAGAAGAATAACCCATCATTTTATTTCACTTCCATCTGTAGTCGGAAGTTAAGCTTAGTTTTGGACAGTTTTTTTTTCTTTCCCAGGAACTGAAGGTGAGTTGAGCATTGTGACGTAGACCTACACTCCAGAGAATATAGAGGCTTCCCTTGTTCGGTGCCTCCTGCGTTCTGATAATGTTGAAGACATTTGAGTTGTGTCATCCCTAAACCTCATGTTAATCCAGCAGAGACGGGCATGATTATCCCCATTTTTCAGATGAGGAGACTGAGGACTGGGTTAAATCATTTATTCAAACTTATGCAGGTAAAAGTGCAAATTCATTGTCAGAGTGGGGTGGGTGCTATGGCCAGTATCCAGGGGAGGAAGGGCAGGTACCCACTAGCAGGTAGACCACCCGTCTCCTTACCGACGCCTCCTTGGTGTTGGTCTCCTCTGATGCTGACTTGGCCACCTTCTGGATGATGGGAGCGATGTTGGTGGGGCCGTAGAGCTGGAGTTTAGGAAGGCAGCTCTGATAGGCTTCCACAACTCCTTGAATCCCTGAGATAAAATCGGCAAAGATCAATAGCTAAATAGTCCTCTAAATAAATTTAAATTCAAACACACACACACACACACAAACACAAACGAAGCATTAACTTCCCTCAAAGAGTCCTTATCAATAGCACATTTATGTCCTTAAGATAAAAAAGAAAACATCACATCTGGGCTGGTGTTACTGCCTCCATTCCACTAAAATCATTCTCTTTATGCATTTTAGTTATTTTTTGAAATTGGTTTGGGAAGAATTTATTAATGAATGATTGTGTTTCCTAGAGAATATGACCAAGTTTTTTTTTTATGACAAAGAGAACATTCTAGACCCAGTTAAAAAAATGTCAGTTACAAACCTATGTATTCCCAAAACTTTTCTACACTTTCAAAAATAAGGGGTTCATGCTGGGGATATTTTGCAACCCTACAGCTTAAAACTCAGAGAGAAAGTTTTCGGTCAGAACTCATCCTCTTAAAAGGTTCACATCAAAAGCGATCATTTTTACAGGTGAAGAAACTAAGGCTCAGAGAGGTTTGTTGCAGACTCAGGATTCACACCAGGTATGTCTGGCTCTAAGGGCCATGCTCAAGGCTTTAACATTTCTCCAGTTTTTGGACCACCCTGTTGACTGTAGTATACCCACCCCAGGCCACCTATGTGAGTAATGTGTACATACAGCCGTCTCTGCAGAGGCTAAAGTCTTTGTGGGCAGGAATTGCACCTTCCTCTCTCATAAGCTCAAGGCATGTCAGGCACATGGTAGCTGCTCCCTAAATGTGTGATGGGTGAGGAAAATGACTGTTACTGTTATCTGCTGGGGACTGTAATACAGACAAGTGACACTCATCACCATAGGCACCCTTCATTTAAGGGGGGCTTCCACCCAAACCTCATGACAGGCAGGCTTTTTTTGTGGAGCTTCTCCCAGCCTGAGTCTTGACTGCACAGTGAAGGTTCTAATCACGATCCCACAGTGACACAGTTCCATTACCAGTGATTTTTGTTCAAAGGGTCCTGTCCATGCCTGTGCCTCTGTTCCCTCTCCCTTCCCCTGTTTCATCTCATCCTCCTAAAGCCCTCTCTACCCTAAAACAGCACACTGGTCCTGTTTCAGGCCAGAGAGACTCACAAAGTCCCTCCTGTGATTGTTTTCTGTCCATATCTTTCTAACCAGCTTTTGGGCTTCTTGGATGTAGCTGTATTCTGTTTTACCTTTATACACACGCATTTAACAAAATGTGTATGAAAATGACTGAAAGTGTTCCATTCTCTTTAGTCTGCCATTCTAAAGACAGATACCAAATCAATATACACAGCCTGGTTTTGCAGTTAAGTGATACTGAATAGAAGTTCTTTATCTTTTTTGGCCCTTGAGTTTTTGCTTAAGATAAGCAAGTTTGAATTCTCTTTCAAAGGTAACAGGCAGATAAATTCTAACATGTGAAACAGGTTAACATGGGATAGATATGTCCTTCACTCTGCTTTGATGAAAAATCACTCTTACAGTTGAAAAGCAGGGATGGTTCCAGATGAGGGAAGCCTAAATTGTAATAAACTCGGCATGAAGGATGGTGAAAGGGAATAAGAGCCAAATGGAGATCTGGTCTCAGAGGTTGTTCTGTGCAGATCTGGGGATACTGATGTTATGTTCTTGGACAGTTAGTGCCAGATTTGTGAAAGAAACTGCAGAAAGCTCGACATCCCCCACAGGATCTGAATTAACTCTGTTCTGGGTTCTTCCTTGACAGGAAGGAGGAGAGACATGAACATTTCCACCAGCCCACTGTAAAAATGTCTTACCATTTTCATAACAACAGGTGTGCTTGGCTCTATTTATCATTTAGAAACCAGGAAAAATGATTCTAGGATACAATTTATCATCATAGTCATCATCATTATTTTGTGGAATGTGTTGGAGACTCTCCAGCTGGAAATAACAGAATAGGGATCAAAGCCTTTGAGGAGCTCTTTCTGGCACAAAACCATTGAAACGACTCCATTACCAATATGGTAAGATTGTCATATGATGTCCATACTTCCCCCTCTTCTTATTACTACACAGGAAGCTGTGAAAAATAAATACTTGATGACTACTTGGAAAGCAGAAAGGGGGTTACCTCATCACTGCCCATCAGGTGACCCTTCCCTCAAGTGTTTTTTTTTTTTTTTGGCCAGAGGAATCCAGAATTGGGATTGATATTCTTGCTCTAAGCTCAAGACCTCTTCTGCATTCTGTCTTTTCCAACTCTTATACGTCTGCTCTGTTGTTGTTTGGATCCAGGGAGACTAATTCTCTGCTGTGGGCAATCATCACTGACATACTGCATCAGGAGAAACTAAGATGGGAAAAGGGGGAAGGGAAGGGCTGCGGGATCCTGGCTTCGTTTCACATCATGATTTACCTGCACATTCAGGGTTGTCTTCATTAAAGTTGATGGCGAAGTCATGAGAGACCTGGACACCAATTAAAATTTACAAAAGGAAGACAGGAGAATGACAACATTAATCCAGTCAGGAGGCACTGGGGTTAGAGTCTGCAAACAGACGCTCATTACATTCATTTTGTCTCAAGCAGCAGGAACCACTTTAAGCCTTCACAGAATCTCTCTGAGATGGAGGGTGGATTCTAAGCTCCCTGTGGAGTTGAGGTGACAGGGAGATTTTCTAGAACCAGATAAATGCTGGCAGGGGAGGGAGAATAAGGTATATGAAAAAAAAAAAATACAAGGAAAGATTTCAGAAAAATGTTAACTCCAAATAGCTTCAAGAGAGAAGTGGCCTCAGAACAGAGGCTAGATTTGGCTGAGTTCTATTTGGACCAAGTGATTAAAAAATGATAACTCAATAACCCAAGCTGTCTGCTGGAGATGACTATGCTTACAAAGGCTCCAGCTAAGCTGTTGACATTTACGACTCATTCTAACATAATATATAGAACTGCTGGGCCAGAGGATTTTCACATGCATACAGGTAAAAATAGACTCTAGCTTTTGGAAAAGTAATAAAGTAACATAATTTGGAAACTTCCAACACAGATTCCTCTACCTGGTGGGACCTACGTACAATACAAGGTCAAATAATACGTGGCTTATTTTTTTCTTTCTAAAACTTGAGGTGTGCCCTGACATCTAGACATTTTTATTGAGTCACATGGAATTTTACTGAGGTTTCCATTTCAAAGGCTATTTCTCAAAGCACTGACTCTCCGGGGCCTAGAAAATAGGTCATTGTGGTAAAAATCCCTTTTTTCCCAGTGCGGGTCAGAGCTGATGCTGTTGGTGCCTTGCCCACATTCCCTTGCCCTTGGCTCTTCCAGGTAACTCAATCAACTGTCAGTCATCTTACCTGGTTTATTTACCTTAAGTTTTTCTTGGACTTCCAGAGCTGGCATGGCTTACCCAAGTGACAGGCAAAAGGTGTTGGGGAATTAAGGTCCCCTGAGAGTAATGTCCCTAAAGAGTAGCTCTTCATCATGGGCTGACAGGAGGCTGTGAATCAGTATCCCAGTCCTCTGATCCCTTGGGGTCTGTGTGTACTCTGCACTGTCTCCCAGGATTTGGCTTTGGCTGTCCATGCTGGTAATGACTTGTTAGTAAACCCTGTGTTGACTTCTTCCCATTTCCCCTCTGTCTACCGAGGCTCTCTACACCTCTCAAATAAACTGCTTGGATCCTAATCCTTGCTGCAAACCAGGCCTTTCAGTTTTTCCAGAGAAGCCAGAAATCTGACATTTTCATGAAATTGTCTAATTCTTTAAAAAAACAAAACAAAACTATGTGTCAGAATTGTGGCCTGATTAACATCTATAAGCCAACAATTGACAACACTTGATCTATATTCTTCCCCCACCATGTGCTCCATTTCCAACAAATGCTTCCACAATTCTGTAGCATGGCCAGCAGGGAGAACAGTGTGGGCCACAGGCAAACAAGAAGGAGGACAGGTCATGGAGACAGGCTACTCCATCACCGCTCACTCCAGCAGGAAAAGGAAGGTAGACTCCTTTTTTCATGAAAGGCCTTTGGTCTGACTGCTGTGGGGTGGGAGCAAAAGTTGGCATCTGCCTCTTGATGTGCAGCTCAGATTAGGTCAGTAAAAGAGAAATTGATGACTGGGCAGTATTGCTTGCATATATCTGGGACCTCAGAGATCCCCTAAGGAACAGAAAGCCCTGTTCCTCCCCAAGAGTCTCCCACACGGGCCATCTGGTATACCATGGGAGAGTGCCTCAGCCCCACTGCAGCACAAATCTCTCCACATACAGTCTTTACCTTCTTTGTGTCATGAGAAATCGGCATCAAGGTCCAATAGGATTCCAGTGTTTTTACAGTAGCCTTTCAGCTCCAAATTCTTTGAACCCAAGTAGCTCTTTCCTCAGGATTTCTATGTTTCTCCCACACAAGACTGGTACTTATGAACTTGGGGTGAGGGAGTCTGTAGACTTCACTGTCATGGACTTTCACTGTCAGAATGGTCAATAGGGTCTTTCTCCAGGGGAGAGCTGAATAGATGGGCTCTGAGCCATTGAAGATCAACTTCCAAGTGTTTCCACAGTCTCTGACTTGTCTGTATGAAGCTAAACAATGGAAGTTTTCATTTGGAATTGACTCTGAGACAGCCCATCAAGAACCCCAGATGAAGGGGTGACATCTACACACCAGCTCGAGGAGCTAACCTCACTGGTTGTGAAGATCATTTCTGACTATGGACCTTTACATAATTATGCTAAAGGTTGAAACTGTGAGACTCCTGTGAGGGAAACCCATGCCATCCTTTGTTTATAGTAAAACACCCACTCACCGTGTACTCTGGGGGTATCCTGGCACCGAACCCAAAGGCTGGGAACATCTTGTCACTGAAATTAAAAAAAGAAGTTGCTACATTTTTTCATCTAAAGAGAAAGAAAAACATAACCCTGCATTGCCTCCCTGGAACAGGTCACTATGCCAAATGCTAACTCATGCTTTTTGATAGCCTGCGGTAACAGGGCACAGCAATAGAGTGGAAAACTGAAATAAAGAAATAATCCCCAAAGCTCATCACTTTACTGCTTTTCTATACTATAAGTGAGAAGTGAGTAGGAGATGAATGAACAATGATTGGCCCTACAATACACCAGATATGATGCTAGGCCATGTCTATACTTAGTTAATTTTCATACAACATTTGAAGATACACCTACTTTTTATTCCTGTTTTACTAATGAATAAACTGAGTCTCAGAAAGTCTAACAAAGTGAACTAAGGTGTTTACCAGTAAGCACTGTCTAATTCCAAAGTCTATGCATTTTCTATTATACCATCAAAACTTGATGAATATGTACAGCATTAAATGTGGTTTCCTCTTATGCTTTCTGCAACTGGGCCCCTGATCAGACCACAAACAAAACACTTCTTAAGTGAATTTTGTGCTGTCAGGGGACTGTTGCAGTGGAGCTCAGGAATATAGCTCTTTGAAGAGGGCATGTCCTTCTCAGGACACCTACTTTTTATTTTCTCTCCCATTAAAGGCTCATTTGAGATTTGTTCTTGGAACAATTCCTCCATTTCTCAATTCTTGCAGAGTCAGTCAGGGAGAAGAAGAAATTCAGATAAGGGCTCACTGTCCCTGGAATGTCTCTGGAAGCAAAAGGGGAGCCCCAGGCTGAGAAGTCAAAGGATCAAAGTCAGACTATCACTCATCACCATCTACTGATTTAGATAGAGGTCACTGGTAGCCAAAGATGGCTTTGATAGAACTTCACCAAAATACATTCAATTTGACCACATTTGGGGCAGGTATTGGGAGATTCAGGGAAATCAGAATTCTTTGAAATCAGAGGCTAAATTTGTCAGAAAATTACCAGTTCCCCCTTTCCCTTTCTGTAATATAGATATGGACTTTGCATACATCTAGAAGGCTTCCCTGGTGGCTCAGATGGTAAAGCGTCTGCCCGCAGTGTGGGAGACCTGGGTTCAATCCCTGGGTTGGGAAGATCCCTTGGAAAAGGAAATGGCAATCCACTCCAGTACTCTTGCCTGGAAAATTCCTTGGACTGAGGAGCCTGGTAGGCTATAGTCCATGGTGTCGCAAAGAATCGGACACAGCTGAGCGACTTCACTTTCACTTTCACTTTCACTTTCAGAAGGTATTAGGGTATTAATGATGATAAACAGAAAATCATAAAAGCTTATAAATGATTAGACACAGGTCTGAAAGACTTCTGGGCCTTGGAAATATTGAAATGCTTTGTTTCAGAGATTCCTTCTTAGCTACGATAAGGGTGATGAGTGTGAGGGAGTTTTTAGAGGTACTTTCTAGTTAGGTCTGGAAGAAAGCTGTTCTGGGTGAAGGATGAGTCCAGCTTCTTCCAGCTCAGATGGCTCAGAAGTCAAAGCAGAGAAAATTAGGAAGCTCCACACTTTTTATTTTCTTTGATGAGTTCAAGAGAGGTGAGATCTAGTATTCTGTTTCTAATCAGCAAACCAGTGTTTCAGATTTTATACCTTCAAGCCACCCTTGGGGATTTGAAGTTTACTGAGCATGAGGCACTGTTACACAATTGAGTTTCAACAGCAGGAAGGTAGGGAAAATGTCTCACCTACAAGGGGAATAATTAATGAGTCATGAGGGTGTCAATTCTCTGAAGTTAACCACCACACATACTCTAATAAGCATACTAAAGAAATAAAAAAATCAAGCCTAAGGACAATAGATTTAAGCATTCACTTTCCCTGATTAAAAATAAAACTAGACAGAGAGAGGGAAGGCAAGGTGAGCACACAGGCAGTAAAGGCTTGCCAACACATCAGAGAACTTAAAACGAGACCTACCAGCACTTATAAAGGGGCCGTTTAGAAACTACTGAGATGACTGGTGGAACCTCCCAACCTGGAAACTTCAAGGCAGATTGAATTTTCTGAAGGTAGTATTTCTTACTATTGGAATAAAATAGTATAAAATATGATCAAAGAGCCCAGGATTTTCAGTGGCAATGGGCTTGCGGTCTTGAACTTAGGGAAAGACCTTGGTCAGATGATCTGCCAATGAGAGCTGCATTTTTATCTTCCCAGGTAAGGAAGAGGGGGCTAAAGCAAGAGATGAATCAAAGGAAAGACTGTGTCCATAAGAAAATGGAGATGAACTCAGTAAAATCACATTTTAGAACAGCTAGACATTAAATAAGGTTGTTCTCTAAAGAGGTGGTCTTCAAGTTGGGGTATGTGGAGGTGCAAAGTCCTTCTATAGAAATAAGAGCATGGCTTCTTTGAAAGGAAATCAATATTCATCTCCTTTACCTCTCCATGTATACTTTGCTGAAATTGATCTTCTGGGAGCGTCTGTGATTGAAGTACCTGCTCCTCATCCACACCTGCCTTTCCCAGTTGCCCTCTGCTCACCCACTCAGAATCTCAGGCACCGTGTGCTCGGCTCCCCTTTGTAGAAGCTTCACAGCAGAATACAAAGGGACATTTCCTGATGAGAATGACTTGCTAGCAAACAAATCCTTTTGTGAGTCAGGTAGTTGCCAGTTTTTGCTTAAAAGAATTGTTGGAAGTGCTGATGTCAGATGGTAGACCATTAAAAACATCTTTTGATGATAGATATGTAATTTTTTTATATAAAACTTTGAATTGAAAGAAATGCATAACACTGCTAGGCAAACTCTTTTCGTTACCATGGACTTATAAAAACAAGCTTTCTTAGTATTTACATTGATAAAACAAAAAATTGAATTAGAATTGATGCTGGACTTTTCCATTCTGGTCAGAGGGGGCAGTTACCCCCAGATATGTAAACTAACTGGGGAAAGAACCTAGTATCTGTTTCAATAAGATTTAAAAAAAGTTTTTATAGGCAATAGTCAGTTATTGAAATTTCCCAAATATTTATGATCAATTAGGCAACAATAATGATTATAATAAAAACTAATCCAGAAGATATTTTTAAATGCTTCAAATCTTTTCATTACAGTAAATTTTAGAAATTGGAAATTTAAAAATTTATATTCATATTTTAATTAAAGAAATAATATAGTGATCAATTAAGGACTTTCAAAGCAAACTTTAAAGATACATTGGGATGAAATTCTATGGGAGAAGGGAATGAAAATATGACCTCATGAAAAAGAAGAAACAGAATTCTCAACTCAAACTGACGAACTTGTTCACGTAGTTTTAAATGGATGATGGTGGGGATCAAGTGGTGTTTAGTTCTGCTGTATGCATTCAACAGAGTTATGTAAGAGTTTTATTTTTAAATGTCCATATTTACATTATATTGGAATTTTCATTCTTTGTCACTATTTAAACTCATGATGGAAAATGTTAGGTTTCAATGTAATAGGGTGTGAAGGTTATATGTTTAAACATTCTTTTTAGGGGTATGTGAGCCAAAAATTTTAAAGGTCATTGGTCCAAAATGACTTTTAGGTCTGACACTATAGTTCTTTTCCCTTTGTGTCAGTTGCTGTTTTAAAAATAAGTAAAGAGTATAAGCCTCTATCAATTAATAAGCCTCTATTATTTATTAAGAATGTACAAAAGGCAGAATTTTATATCTAATTCTTACAACTACTCTGCAGGGGAACTTAGCTGAATCTTTCATTTGCTGTCAGGGAAACAAGGCCCAAGGAGTTACCTCAGGATGTGCACCAGACTAATTAAATCTGGGGATAGGGCCCAGGCACCAGCCTGCGTTAAGGCTTCCCTAGTGGTTCCAAAGTGGAGCCAAGAGAACAATGGATTGGTGTCTGCAGAGTGAAAAAGACAGCACTGTGATGTGACTTCTGACTTCTAACCCAGTCGATGCCTCCCTGGCCTTGAGCAGCGTAGAGACCACGTTGCTTGTAGGAGCTGGGGGGAGGGCTACGACCGACTGGGAACAGATGAGCTCGTTTGTGAGGCGCACACTTGGGGAGCTGGAGGAGACAGAAGGCAGGGGTCTCTCTCTCAGAAGCACAGAGAAAACGGGCTCGCAGAGCTGCCTTCCAGGCTGAGGACCTGAGCCTCCCCTCAAGACTGCCCTGAGAACTCTGAGCTTCACGCGTCTCTCAAGCTGTTCAGCTTCATGGATCAGCTCGTCACGACCCGTGAGCAGTGAATGTACAAGGCAGGAAGAAAACTCTTGGCTGTCAGAGGCTGAGAGGAATTTCAAGGTTCCTGGGGATTAAATGCCTCTGTGTCGCTGCAGGTGGGCAAATAGAGCCTTCTGTCAGTTTTTACTCAACTGTTTCTTTTTGAGCAGCAACCTCTCTGACTTTGATGCAAGAATAAATTAATTCCAAAGCCCCTACTTGCAATGTCCTGACTGTCTTGTCTATTGTCTTTCCACCCACACAGAGAAGCGAGGGAAACTTGTCAGTTTTCATGAAGTGATTAGTGTGCTGATTTCAATGCTGAGGTGCTTTCTTTATATGAAAAATAAAAATGCTCCACTGAGTTGAAGAAATCTGATTTTCTTGGCCAGTTGGGACCAACAACTTTGGTATTTTCCTTTAAAATTTAAAAAAAAATTAATTTATTTGAATTGGAGAATAATTACAATATTTTGATGGGTTTTGCCACATATAACATGAATCAGTTTTTTCAAAGAATCATCTAAGGTGATTCTTTATGTAACCCAAAGGTGTCATTTCTTACTTTTATCTGTACATTTGAGGAAATACAAAAATCCTCCCCAGGTTTGTCTGGCTCATATTATAAAGGGATAATAGCTCCAAAAGATGTGTTGGTTCCTCTGACTGTCTTATCTGCATTTGGAGTTTGAGGTAATCAGGAAACAGAAGCTCTGTAGCCTGTCCAATAAGTCTGCTTTCTGCAAGGGCTCTGGGTGTTGGCATCTTAATTTCTGGCCAAGCCACCAATTTGCTCTTCAGAATTCATTACTAGGCTGCCTTGTGTCTGCAGAGTCAGTTAAGGTCAACTTTACTAACTGAACTAAGTGTTTGTTGTGTTGTATTAAGTGCTTTTACCTACTTTACTTTATGAGCATTTCAATATTTAAAAGTTATTAAGAATCCTGAAGAAGTTCTAACTGTTCTTCTCTTAAATGGACACATTATGACACTAGATAACATTTTGTGTATGGGGGGGGAGGGTAGAGAGAAAGAGAAAGAAAGAAAGGAGGGAATTACTGTAGTGGTATTTTGGGGGCTATTTGGAGGAGTTTCTAACAGTGGGAATTGCAATCTGTCTGTTTTTTTCCCTCTTGGTAAAAATCTCCATATGACTTGAGCCTTTCTAAGAATCCTTCCTGAATTGGGGCCTGAAGAAATCAGAGCTGAAATTCAAGTTGCCCTCACAGACAATATTTCAAGGTTAAGTACAAGTATCATTTCAACAGGGTAATTTAAACTGCTATTACTGTTCTCTGTTCCAAACGTGGAGGGGAAGTGTTGGCAAGGGCCTCAGGTTTAGCACTATCTGATTTGACTGCATCTGTTAGTTCATCCCCAGCTAGCTTCGTACACATCTGAGTTACTGGTGACGACCAATCCGAATCCAGAGACTCGCCAGTGGGAAGGACACTCATGAACCTTCTGGTCACTAGGTTGTGTCACTCTCTAAGTGCCTGGGTACCAGGTTTTTAATATGGTTATCACCAATTATGAGACTAGAAAGAATAGAAATCAGGCTATTTCATGAAATCTCTCTGAAAGTGGAGGACAGAGTCACTTCCTTTATTTTCCTGGTCAATTAGTTACAGCTTGGGCTTCCCTGGCAGCTCAGCTGGTAAAGAATCTGCCTGCAATGCAGGAGACCTGGGTTCAGTTCCTGGGTTGGGAAGATCCCTGGAGAAGGGAAAGGCTACCCACTCCAGTATTCTAGCCTGGAGAATTCCATGGACTGTATAGTCCATGGGGTCGCAAAGAGTTGGACATGACTGAGCAACTTTCACGTCACTTAGTTACTGCTTATTACTAACTAGTCCTGTTTTACAATCACATCAGGCTGTCAACTGAGATTTACCCATAATATATTTACACTGGTTCTATTTCAAAGAGCCTTCTTAATCAAACATGTGAACAACTTCACCTCAATCTAGAAATATTGGAAAGGCAAAATAAATTCAGTTCAATGTAGTTTATGTAAATCACTTCTTACAAGGAATTCTCTTGGTGGGCAAGGTCAATGTTTGCCATCAAGTGAAAATAAATAGAATACCAATCTGAACTCAAAATTGTATTTTCTATACAGGCGTACAAACACATATAAACACTGTTGTGGGCTCACACACACCCTCTGCTAAAGTTACCAATAGCTTTTGAGGTCAGTGAAATCCCATGATTACGAGTTTATGCTGTGGAAGGAGCTGGCTCTGGGTTTAAATCCTGCCCTTGGCTGTAGGTCAGGGTACACACCACTTCCCCTCCCTGCACAGTTTTCCTCTTCTGTTAAACAACACCCATGACAGAAGGGTTAGTATGAGGACAATAAAGAATAGTGCCCAATAAACTGGTGCTTCTCAAATCTCAAATTGCACACAAATCATCTAGGAATCATGTTACAGTACAGATGCTGACTTAGATGTTCAAGTGGAGCTTGATGTTCTGCGACATTATGTTGCTAGTCAATGCACACAACTTTGCAAGTTTCTGTATGTAGTAAGGCACATAATGAAACTTCATAAAAGAGAAACCAAAATCTCTCTCCAGTGGTCCTGCAAGCCAAGAAAGAGAAGAAATGATTTTTTGGTGGCCAATGTGAGCTTGGCATGAACTCAGTTCCTCCAGAGGTGAATAGCCAGGCTTTATTTTGTCCCCTCATGAGTCTCAGCATAACTTCATTTCCATTATTCTGCCCAGGATCAGCTAGGGGCCACAAGAACCCCCAGAGATGGGAAGTCTCATACCTGTCATAGTCTTGGCAAATCTCTCCCACTGCCACCAAGGCCTTCAGGTACTCATTGGGCTGGTAGGGGTGGATGTAGTGCAGGGAACAGCTGTTCCTGGGGTCCCCATTTGAGGCCGTGAAATCTATAGCTACCTGGAAGAGAAGATAGGAGAGTGGGTGGATTTAAAGTGAACATATTTCATTTAACCTTGACAGTGACGCAGCCTGAGAGAGGGGGGAAGTTGTATGTTACACATCCTGCTGACAAGCAGAGTTAGAGAAGAAATTCATTAGCTTTAAAAATTAGTTGTTCAAATGTTGGAGAGGATGTAGTGAGAAGGGCATCCTCCTATATTCTTGGTGGGAATGTAAATTGGTGTGGCCACTATGGAAAACAGTATGGAGGTTCTTATGGAGGTTCCTCAGAATACTAAAAATAGAATTATCATATGATCTAGCAATCCCACTCCTGAGTGTATATCCAGACAAAACTATTTCAAAAAGATACATGCACCCTCTATGTTCATAGCAGTCGTATTCACAATAGCCATGACAGGGAATCAACCTAAATGTCCATCCACAGATAAAAGGATAAAGAAGATATGGTACATATATACAGTGGAATACTAATTGGCCATAAAAAGAATGAAATAATGCATTTGTAGCAACATGGATGCAACTAGAGATTCTCATACTAAGCAAAAAGTAAGTCAGAAAGAGAAAGACAAATATGATATCACTTACATGTGGAATCTAAAATATGACACAGATGAGCTTATGTACAAAGAGAAACATACTCAGAGGCATGAAAAACAGACTTGTGGTTACCAAGGGGGAGAGGGTGTGGGGGAGGATGGAGTGGGAGTTTGGGGTTAGCAGCTGTAAACTAAAGAAAGTCAACCCTGAATGTTCACTGGAAGGACGGATGCTGAAGCTGAAGCTCCAACACTGATGTGAAGAGCCAACTCATTGGAAAAGACACTGATGATGGGAAAGATTGAGGGCAGGAGAAGGGGGCAACAGGATGAGACAGTTGGATGGCATCACTGACTCAATGAGTTTGAGCAACCTCTGGGAGATAGTGAAGGACAGGGAAGTCTGGTGTGCTAGAGTCCATGGGGTCATAAAGAGTCGGACACAACTTGATGACTCAACAACAACAAACTGTAAACTATTATATATAGACTGGATAAACAGCAAGGTCCTACTGTATATTGCAGATGACTGTATTCAGTATCCTATGATAAATTGTAATGGAAAATAATATTTTAATAAAGAATGTATATATATGCATAACTGAATTACTTTACTATAGAGCAGAAATTAAAACAACATTGTAAATCAACTATACTTCAATAAAAACATTAAAATAAAATAATTTTTAAAAAGAAAAAAAAAACAGTGGGATAATAGGTGACTGAGGATGATTGGGAGTGACCTAAAAGGACCAGTGAAATCCAATATCTTCTGAGATAGACTTCATCCTGAAGGTGAAAGTCAAGCCAGTGAAAAGAGAGAGGAAGACAACATGAGCTGTGGTGAAAAGTTACTTGGGGGTGGGGAGTCTACATGCATTTTGCAATCAAAGGGCATTCTAGGTCACACCTATCAGGCACCAACCAGACAAAGGTCCAGATACATTCAGACAATCCCTGGAAAACTTCTCCAAGGAAGACACTCGAAAGATACCCAAGAGACAGGGTTTGGAGAAATCAAGCATCTCAGGCCTCCTGGATTTGCTAAGCTTCAACACACACCTGCCACTCTTTACTTCTGTCCTGACAAGACACACTTAAGAGATCATGGCACCTCACAGGTGCACATAGTGTTTAAAAAGTAAAAATAGTGCGGGGAAGGCTAGAAGTAAAGCATCTTTTTCTTTCCTACTGTGGAAAGCACTTTAGAACTGTAGAAAATTCTAGAGACTGCAAGGATGTTGCAGAGATAAACTTGATTCTCAGATAGCGCTAGTGGTAAAGAACCCGCCTGCCAATGCAGGAAACATAAGAGATGTGGGTTCAATCCCTGGGTCAGGAAGATCACCTGGAGAAGGAAATGGCAACTCACTCCAGTATTCTTGCCTGGAATACCCCATGGACAGAGGAGCCTGGTGGGCTATAGTCCATAGGGTCACAGAGCCAGACACGACTGAAGCGACTAAACACACACACACACAAACTTGATTCTGCTCTGATTTATCAGTGTCACTGCAAATATTGCAAATCACTGACATTCCAATCTACCTGTGTTTTTGAATACTGCAGTTGTCCCATGTGTGTTGATTACCTGATTGTCAAGGGTGTCTCATGATGACAAAAACATGCTGGTATCCTGATGTAAAATCAGAGAATGAAATCAGATAAATCAGATAATATAAAGAATAGAGGGGAAAACCTCCATAAAGAAAAACGGCAATTCAAGAAACGTAATTGAACATCTAATCCTCCTAAGCACGGGTGAGATGCTCCAAGCATGTAGGCACCAAGAGGCAGCATTTGAGCCCAGGTGTATCACCTGGATGAGTCCCTGTGGTGTGGGAAGAAGTGTATGTAACATTGGATGAGCATTAAAAATTTTGGCAATAACTATATTAAATTTTGAAAAAAATCATAGGGCTGGGATTAGGGTAAGACAAGAGAGGTGACTAGGGCATAAACTCAGGAAGGCACTCATCTGAACTGATCCTACACTTGCCCAATTCAAGTGATGCCTCCTTAAATTTTGCATCCTAGGAGCCTCCCTCTCTTTCTTCACTCTGGTCCCAGTGCTCTACATCTTTTCATTTCTATCAACTCTTCATCCTTAGGCTTGAAATAATTCCCTTATGCTTAATAAACTAGGGGGAGGCAGAGATGGTGGTGAGAAGAGGATTGTGATGGAATATATTAAGCATGGAATAGAAATAGGATATTCATTGATTCTGAAGTTGGATGCCAGTTAGGGAAGGGAGTGGCCAGATCTCCTTGGGGATGCAGGGGATTATGAAGTGGGGTAACTTGAAGTTCAAGGTTAGTAGGCAGTATTGAGTTGCCTGTTCCTGGTGGTGCTGTAGAGAAAAACATGCCCAGTGGAAATTGCTTTTTATTTTTCTGCAGGCCTCTGGGGTTTGCACTCTTTCTGTGGGAATGGCCCCCTTATTTACGACAACCACAGAGGCTATTCAAGCTCAGGAGATGCTGATGAAACTTTGGGGAAGTGTATTAACCTAAAAATTATCTGATGAAAAAAAGAAATAAGATAATGATCCCTATCACATGCTGCTTTCTATAGTTTCCTCTGCTCATAAAAATATTTTATCATTTGTTGTTGTTGTTGTTCAGTCATTCAGTTGTGTCCAATTCTTTGCAACCCCATGAACTCCAGTATGGCAGGCTTCTCTGTCCTTTACCAACTCCTGGAGCTTGCTCAAACTCATGTCCATTGAGTCAGTGATGCCATCCAACCATCTTATCCTTTGTCATCCCCTTTTCTTCCTGCCTTCAATCTTTCCCAGCATCAGGGTCTTTTTAAATGAGTCAGCTCTTCACATCAGGTGGCCAAAATATTGGAGTTTCAGCTTCAGCATCAGTCCTTCTGATGAATATTCAGGACTGATTTCCTTTAGGATTGACTGGTTTGATCTCCTTGCAGTCCAAGGGACTCTCAGGAGTTTTCTCCAGCATCACAGTTCAAAAGCATTAGTTCTTCAGTGCTCAGCTTTCTTTATAGTCCAACTCTCACATCCATACATGACTACTGGAAAAACCATAGCTTTGACTAGACAGACCTTTGTTGGCAAAGTAATGTCTCTGCTTTTTAACATGCTATCTAGGTTGGTCATAGCTTTTCTTCCAAGGAGCAAGCATCTTTTAATTTCATGGCTGCAGT